ATATAAATCCATTCAAATCGAGCTAATTTGCTTCAATTGCCGCCCGTGTTTTTCCCTCTCAATGCTCATATTTAACATGATTTGGATTCCTTTAAGTTTTCAATTGTTCTATGGAAGTGTTACCTTTACCAAAGAAAGATCTCATATGAGTTTCTTTTGTTCTATCATGATGTTACCTTTGTGTTGTCCAATGCTCTACACCTTGAGTCTAGTTGCGCCTTTGCTACTATAAAAGTTTTCTTTCTTGCCATTTCTTCATTGCTGGTTACCTTCAGTTTCTTTTTGCTATGCGATGGAAGTTATAGAGTATTATTTAGTCTGATGATTGCATATTAACTGTAATGAAACCACAAACTGATTGTGCAAGTTCAGGTGACCTTCAATGTTTCTCGGTGTTTGTTAGTCCTATAATTTATTTTTAGGTTGTATAATTTATGAATCTCTTGGGAGTTGGGACATATTCACTAGTGCATTAACAGCAAGTGATTTATATGTATGCGTGTATATCAAATGAAGAAAGACAATTAAACTATATCTGCTTGTTCCAGATCCATTTTGTACTTCTTATAAGCCGGCAGGGAAAAGTGAGGCTGACAAAATGGTATTCTCCATATGCCCAGAAGGAGAGAACTAAGGTATCCCTTCAAATTATTTTCAAGAGTTGTAAGTTATAATTCATTAGGGTTTTAAGTTTTCTTCTATGGATGGTCATCCATATATTCTATTTCAATATTTCTCTTGGATCTTTGATATAATGCTTTCACAAGTGGGGTCCCTGTACTAATTGCTTGGGAAACTAATGCAATGTTCTGCTGCACTACACCACTAACATGACTGGGGAGTGGGGATTTAAGACCAGAAAAGATTCTGGTACACTTCATTTTCCCAAAATAAAGTGAGCATAGCATGTATAGGTGTATCAGAGTTTGGGAAGAAGCTCCTTCACTCATTTACTTTGTCAGACATGTTGCTAGAGACTTTTTCTGACTTTGGCTATTGGCTTTAATTAGACTGTTCTACTTCCTAGCTGTTTGAAATGAATTTAGTTTTCAACAGAAAGAACAGAAAGTCCTTTTGTTTGTATCTTAGCATAAAGTATCTACTGTGATAAGAATGGGCAAGTATGTGTAGTATTTTAACAAACACTTACAAGAAAATTGACCTATATTTCTTCTACATGCTTATGACATTACTTGTTATGCAAACCCCTTGAAAGGTGATTCGTGAGCTCAGTGGTATGATTCTCACCCGAGGCCCAAAGCTTTGCAATTTTGTGGAATGGAGAGGATTTAAAGTTGTTTATAAAAGGTATATCTGAACCAACCGCTTTTAGCTCATAATCCTACTTATGGTGTCTTTAGTTATACGTGGTTGCACTGGAGGGACCTAACAATAAAATATGATTTGCTTTCTTTATGTTAATTTGACAGATATGCTAGTCTTTATTTCTGCATGTGTATTGATCAAGAGGACAATGAATTGGAGATATTGGAAATCATTCACCACTATGTTGAGATATTAGACAGATACTTTGGCAGTGTGAGTCTGAATTTTCAAGCTACTAAGAGCACTGCTTATCTTACTTGTCTATGTTATATTTTGAATATAATAATTATAGTGTTCCTCTTTGTTCCTTAGGTTTGTGAGCTGGACCTAATATTTAATTTTCACAAGGTATGATCACTATAACTATTTGAAGCATCAGTCAATTCTGGGTACTACTTTGTTGAAATGTTAGCTCTCTCCTTACTTGGTTGGCTTTATAGTCATGCCTATTGGGGTAGCAAACTAGCAATACTCTAGAGCCAAAATTGTGTTTTGCTTCTATGCTAACAAACACTTTCAAGTTATCACTCCTTTTGAGAATGTTATCATAGGAGTTATGGTGGTCCAGATCTTGGCAAAGGGTTAGTTCCCTCCAGACTCCATTAGAGTTAAAACTATGAAAAGAAATCACAATAGAGAATAATAAAGAGAATATAGTAATGCTTGAATACTAACTTCATAAAGCTTATATAGTGAGTTACATAGGCCTAGTATTCATAGACCATAGAGGTACATAAACAGCCTTGACTTATGGATGGGTCAAGTGATAATTATGACTCTTCAACACTCCTCAGTTGCAGTATATGGTAATAATGAAATTGGATACTTTATGTTTTTCAACACTCCTCAGTTGGGTCATGTGCTAATACATAGAAAGCATTGGAAAAAATCTGAAATTGGAACTTAATGCAATAATGTGGGGCACCAATTCGAGAAAGTCATTCTTTTGAGAAAGTGTCATGAAGATAGAATCATAGAGGATCTCTTCAAAACGTGGTTTCTTTAAGAGAAAGCATCACGAAGAAATAGTTGGACAAGAATTCTTCACAGTTGCAATTGCTTTTTAGAACAAAAATACATGAATGATGACGAATTGAAGAAGACTTCATTGACTTGAGGTTGACAAGAATCTGACTAGAATCCAATACTCCCCTCACTTTTAAAGATCAGAAAAATTGAACAGCAGAAGTAGAAGAAGAAGCAGCTACTAAATAGTGGAGGAAGCACTATCAGCGTTGCATCATCAAACAAAACTGCATTACTAGACAAGCATATATGAAGAAATTTCACTGCAAGAAGTGACAGTGGTAGAGCATGCGTGAAGAATGAGAAAGATTATGCTGAAAATAACTGAATTTCTAATGCATGACAAGGGAATGCCCAGTAAACAGTAACATGCATGTTCACCGGGAATGCCCAGTAAACAGTAACATGCATGTTCACCAATTGGGTACTGTTCACCAGAGTAACTGTACTTGGAAAATTGCTGCAAGGTTATTAGGAAAAAATGGCCCTAGTACCATGTGAACAAAATGATGTTGGGATGGTCTGGTGGCTGGCAAAGAATTACCACCCATTGGTATTTGGTAGGGCAAAAACTATGAGAAGGAAATCTAGATCGGGAATAAAGAGAATTTAGTAATGCTTTATTATTAGCTAAATTAAGCTTATAGAACAAGTTACAAAAATTTATATAGATTATGAGAGATACATAAATATCTAGACACATGGGTCTTCAATTTAGAACATATGATAATTTTGGAACCATGGCTTTTCAAGTAACCCCATGGCCTTCGAGATAACATGTGGTAATTAAGAAATCTACACAGATTTATTCTTCCAACTTCTATACTTCTTTTTATAGTTAATGCTTCACTGCACAAGGAAGCTCAAAATCTACCTTTAGGCAATCGATTGGTATGCTATGAGGTCTCTTGAAACTTTAGTTTACCTTATGGATTACTGAATTTGTATCTCTAAACTTAAGTACAACTACAGACTTAGCAGGAGCATTGTTTGCTTTATCTACTCTCTACCACAACTCTCCTTCATACACCACCTAACTGTTTCCTACTTATGGATATTGGCAGGCATATTACATACTGGATGAACTTTTGATTGCTGGTGAACTCCAAGAATCAAGCAAGAAAACTGTTGCGCGTTTAATTGCTGCACAGGTTTGCTTCTTGGTTTTCAGTTTTGTTGATGCATTAATGTGTGATTTTTAACTGAATCCTCTCTGCCGACTTGCAGGATTCTTTGGTAGAGGCTGCCAAAGAGCAGGCAAGTTCGCTAAGTAACATGATTGCACAAGCCACAAAATGAGAATGCAGTACAGAGACATTTTCCTTTTATGCATTATGTGATCTTCATGAGACATTATTTCTCCTCTGATATGTTTGTCGTGTTCTTAAAAGTACTAGTTCTCTTTATTTTCAAGCAATTTTTTTTTATCTTTTGTACTCTACTTGGTTGTAGCAATATACTTGATTTTGCATATTACAGCATAGTCTGTAGTCCTGTGCTACTTGCCCACTTGTGTACTTGGAAATGTCCAAGATGTCAATGAGAAAAAGTAATGAATACAGTGGAAATATGTTCAGTTTTTCTGAGTAGATTTTGCATGGCATTCTTTTATTTAAATATAAATTAGAATAAAAGCCACTTTTGTTTCTTTAAATTGTTATGCCAACTTGCCAAGGAGTATTTATGCATGCATGTATTTGGTCTACATGAATCAATGACAAGATACATTCCACTTGGTTTAGGTCACAAAATCAATAGCATCCGTGAACTCTGTTCAATGTTTGCAGCTGATCATGGTAGTACTAGTAGTATATGTAGAATTGGTGTTTTTCATATTCTGTTGCTATTAATTTCAATCTTGATCTTGATGACGTTATCTTTTAAGTTTAAAATTATCTAGTAGTGTAGTCAATATACTTGTTATTTACAAAGTTCCAAGCACTTATTCCTCAATATACTTGTTATCTTTTTTTTTTTTTTTGAAAAGAGTATACTCGTTAGCTATACTTTCTAAAAAGTCAAGATCCCACCACCGGAGTTCGATCCTGTGACCTTTCCTCAATGGGAGCCACAGAAGTGTCATCTGAGCATAAGGTGCTTGTTAAGAACTTGAGAGTTGGTGACAACTCTTCCTTTAAAATTTGTTTTAAAAATTTTTTTTATTTTAAATCTAATTTGGTTAAAAGGTACACACAAAAAAAAATAGCAAATTAGTAATCATCTCCAAATGTTTTACTTTTTATTTTATTTTATTTATCTCCACTCCATTACCAAAGTAGCAATAGAGGGATGAATGTTGGATAATTTTTGTGAACAATAACATTATATAGACATTTCTAGAGAAGAGTGATACTGCATTTCCCTATTAAATTTAAATCATAATATTCACCTCCTAATGAATGAATCATTTTCATATTCAATTAATAAAATTTAAAACAATATAAGTTAAATTCAAAATGAGAAAATAACATTTTTCTTCAAAAATTGGGATAAGGCCAACAAAAACCAGTCCTCCCATTGAATAGACTAGGGAGTAGGGACCCCTTCAGAACAAAAACTAGTAATCTGCATATCCATTTGAAGCAAAACAGAAGAATGAACCACCCACCCTGCATAACCAACATTTTCTACTTTGGGGTAATAAGATATGGCAACACTAATTAAACACTTTTTATTGTCTATACTTTTATCATCATATTGTCACGAGCAAAACGCCACTAATTCTACAAAATTCAACAGGCTTGCCAGCCATTTCTGATTGCACTAAAGAAAAGGATAATTATTATAAAGACAAAAGAGCACTATGACTAGTTCACTTCAAAATTTGTGGTGAATCCTTCCATTGAATCTAACCAATTCAGTAGAATTTGTAGTGAGGACTCAACTCAATAATGATGCAGCTTAAACTGTCAATCCAACTTGTACTTTTGAAGACACCGCATCGAGCATAGTGTAATAATATAAAGGAGTGCTACAATTACTACAACTACCACTGCAAAACAAGACAAAACAAAATCAATAAATAATTGTAGCAAGTATTCTCGTTGTTGTAATAAGATTATGTAAAAGAACAAAACAAACACGAGATCTATGTATTACGTATATGACTTTTGTTCAATGTAGTCCATGTATCTAAACTTTGGTCAATCCTGTCCATATACTTTTGTCGATTCGACAAAATTAAGGATAGAAACTAATGTTGTAAACTCAAACCATTAATAATGCAAATGTATCAGATGATGTACGAATGATATACCAAAAATTATTAATGTCGATTGTGTATGTAAAGGAAAAAACACATAAAATATACGAAGTAATTTTTATAATAAATAGATCACTTTAAAAAAAATTAAAAAGAAAAAGAGAATAATAAACAACCTCCTATTGTTCTGATTTCTGAATCTAACTACCTTTTTTAAAATTTTATTTTAGTTTAATTTTATACACACACAGAAACATATTTGTTGGCATGACACTGCCACATCAATAATTTTTTAAATATTAGTGCTACACTGCTACATTATGTGAGCACAATGATAATGGTTTAAGTTAATTTTTTTTTTAAGGGATAATGGTGCAAGTTAATAGTGTTAACCTTTATCCTTAATTTTACAAAATATACAATCAAATTGACCAAATTAAATTGAAGTATAGGAAGATTAGGAACTAATATGAACATAGTAGCGTAATACTTCCCAAGTATGACCAATCTAGGAATTGACAAAGAAACATGAAAACTAGATAATATGGGGATAAATAGCATACCAGTTAATGTGAAAAGGAGCAGAATAGCCAGTCGGTATCTGACAAGCAATGGTAAATCACCTTCAAGAGAACAATGCTTCTGAAATTTTTCATTCACTGTGTTCATTTTGGTGTCTGTTCTTTGGCCTTGGAGTTGCAATAAAGAAATGTTCACAGCCGTAACTGGTAATCCATTTTCATCTTTTACTTCAAATCTCAAACTGGCCGGAGTTGTATTCCAATTAATCTCAATCGATCCGAAATTTGGTTTTCCTAGGATTCATCCAAAGCCTTGAGGATCAATGAAATATATGGAGCTACCACACATAAGGGAAGAAAAAGCTTACCACATGTGCATGAATGAAATCTGCAGCTTTTGTCCATCACTCTCATTGGAGCTGGTGTTAACCAAGCCAAGAATCTCACAAATAGATGTAATGGTGGCGGGACAACCTTTTCCACAGCTTGAGTAAGCCCACTAGATGTTATGTCGTACAAGGGGTACCCAACAGAACAATCACTTCGCGATATTTCTCCAAAATGAACATCTCCACTTATAAAGAACACGCCTTCCCTCTATGCAAACATAAAATGACTACTCAGAAAATTTTCAGTAATAATAAAATCAGACCAAGTAGCATGAATGCATATCAACAAGCTTTAAGATATTTATATTTGAACTAGGAAAATAGTAAGGAAGCTGAAGCTTTATATTGTAGTATATGGGTGGTGAAAATTTGAAGAAAGCATTTCGGATGTGCAACATAAAGAGTTATCCAACTCAATTATAATATTGATATTAGCACCTTATTATGATCAGATATTAACTGAACACCAGTAACAGATATCAGCACCTTACTATCAGATAATAATTTGAAAAGATGACTTCTTTCTTTAGGGAAACGTGCCCACGACTCCATATAAAATAGAGGGCCAATTGTTGCTGTATGGTTTGATATGACCTGCATGAAGAAGCAGAGCAGAGAGGCAAATGTAAAAGCATAGCTTAATTACAAACAAGTAAAATCCATTTAAAAGAAAGTTTTAAAATAAATGTGTCTACTCTAGAGAGCCTCCTTCCTCTTCTTTTCTCTTAACACGAGTATCAAGAGAAAGCACTAATTCAGTGTCCAAACTAAGGGGGTAGTCCCACTTCAGCAAACAAGTTTGACATGGACATTGTTAGTTCCTCAACTATTGGAAAAGGCTCACAAGCTATACGCATAAGGACCATTTAGGTTTTTGGAAGGACGGAGGAACTAGGAAGTGGGCTTCCTCCTCAAGCAATCCCTTGCTCTAAATCTACCTTCCCTCCCTCCTGGTACCTTCATTCTCCTGTAACCTCCATTTTCCCTATGCTCACAATCAGCAAATCTAATTCCAATCAAAATGGTTATAAACAACCCACCATTCACACGAAAGATACTGAGCCAGTCACCCCATCTTACCCTACATTGCTAGATCAATAGGGAGTTTTAAGAAAGGTTACAGCTGAATTCCTCTCCCAAACCTTTACCTGTTCCCTCAATCTAATTCTCACCAATATCAACATTCACACTGCCATCAACAAGGCTTGGATGTGCAATCCTTTGGTGAAGATGGGGGAGTACAATTTGTTAGCCAAAAATTCACCATCAAAACCTTTCACTTCCACTTTCACCAAAGGATTTCTAAAGAGGAAGTCTAACACTATCTATTTCCTGTTAGTTCACCCTTCTGCTCCAAATATGACTGCATTGGCCATAGCAAATTACCATGCAGACTGTTCATCACTTCAACATCAAAAATGATTAGGACTACCCCTGATATACAAAAACAGATCTTGGACCATCATGCATTGTCATTATCATCTTTCATGGCAACACAAAATTGTGTTCGGCATGTTAGTTCTTGCCTTGGGATAGCCTTGTTGGCATCAAGGTATTCCTTTGTGGGAAAGGTAAAGAACTAGAAACTTCTTTGACAAGCAGAGATGCAAATTTCATACCAGAATCACTTCTCCAAGAAAAAAAATGACACTTCAATAATCATATCTTTAATCCTAAATTGTTTCCTGTACACTCAAACTTATCCAACTGAAAATCCTGGTAATTATTTTTCAAGCTTATACTGGAGGAATTTCAAACTCATTCATTAAACATTTAAAACTTAACAATGGGTTTGTTATTCACATGTACTTCCCCACCTTAACAACTACAAAAACAAAAGATTTGAATGCTTAAAAATAGGCAAAATTGTAAATACTGTGCTAGGTCAAAGTATTTGCTACATTAATGTTAATACCTGAATTGAAGATCCAATGATGGTAACAGCTGTGGAAGGTCCATTCAATTCCTCCTCCAACCATTTCCACTGTGCTTCCCCCAAAATACTCCCATCACTAAATAATGGATCTCTATGGTACCTTGTATCCAGAAGAATAACCTAAAGAATCTTATGACCAAAAATAAGAACAGGCAACCATGATATTTCATAATAAAATAATGTCAGTTATTGTTTGAAATTGCAATGTTTAGTTATTTAATCCAAAGCCAAGGCTGTGTTGCACAAAAGAACTAGAAAGCTTAATCAATGTTGTAAAAATCGCTACGTGCCCATTGGGCGTTTGATGGGCGCCGAGGTGCACAATTTTATTTTTTTATTTAATTTTTGCATATGTCATCCTGGTTTTTTAGACTTCTAACAAGTATTCTTCCCATAAAATATAAATGTTCAATAGTACATAATACTAACCATAATACATACAAACAAAATTTAAAAATAAAAATAATAACAGCTGCCTAGTTCGCCTACTAGTTGACCGACTGCCTAGTTGGCTGATTTTCCCATTATTCCTTTTGGCCTAAAGGCGCCTAGCGCCTAGGTGGCCGCCTTAATGGAAAAATAAAACTACTTTTAAAAAGCTATATACACACCTTCACTTGTTTATCAACAGGACCAAATACATAAGAAGCATAGATGCCAGCTTGTTTCCTCCTACAAGAAACAAAAGTGGTGGGAGAAGGAAGCTGAATAACAGCACTGGATAAAAGCAAAAATGGGAAAAAGCATTCTCCTAGAAATATTGAATCTTACGGTGCATGCAAATTTTGTGGTAGGGAAATTTAAGTTGTTTTAACTTTTGATTTACATACGAGGGAGAAAATATGAATGACCTTACCGAGGACTTTCCTGTGGTTCATCCAAGAAATCAAGCATAAGTCTCTGGTTATTAATCTTCCCCTGAAATTCTTTGCCAGCATCGTTTAATCCATAATCATGGTCATCCCAGGTACCAACAACCTATAATACTAAAAAAGAGAGATTAAAGCATCTGAATGAAGATAAGTACATAAAAAGAGATCTAGTTTAGCAGAGGGGAACGAATGAAGGGAGGGAGCACCTTAGTTTTGGTTCGAAGACGAGAATAACCAGGATTGGCCTTAGCCAGGTGATAGCGAGACTTCATTTCCTGTTCAGAGGAAGGTATGAACCTGGGAACATTTTTCCAGGGCCCAATAGTCCTTTCCTTACCGAAAAGCTTGAAAGGGCGTCTAATGTCTCCATAGATGTTGTCCCCCAGCCAAATGAAAACTTGGGGATCATACTCAATAATTGCATCCCAAATGGGCTGATTAAAGGTAAATGATACGAATTATCAACGCCATTGCCAATTGCCAATTGCCATGAGAAAGAATTTTTAAAGAATGAAAATAAAATTAAAAACAAAAAATCACCATCACAGACACTTGAAAACAGAGCACATTCATTGAAAAGACAGAGAGAAAGGGACGGAAACCTGTGGAGCGCTCTGATTGGCGCAGGATCCAAAGGCAATTCTGGAAACAAGAGGAGCCTCTTCCGCCGCACTGCATGATACAGCAGCAGCAATCACGATAGCAGCAGCCGCCGCCGCCGACCACCGCAGCTGAACTAGTATTTGAAATTTCCGTTGATCCGTCATTCACAAATTATTCAAATAATCAAATCAAATCTAAGAAATATCCAATTTCGTAAATGGAAATGATATGATCACGCGGTTGTAAACTTTTTTTTTCCTGCGTTATTCCCTTGGTTCAACTTTTCTGGAATTTGCATCGCATCATACCGCCACGTTCATCGTCGATCCATGGATGGGATCACTCGACACTTGTCATTTCGTTTGCTTTCTTAAATTTTCTACTCGTAATAAATTTATAATTATTAGGGAGTATGTAAATTGTAATTATGTATTGTTAAGGAAAAAGACCAGCGCTATTAATCTAAGTAGTAGTTAATAATACTTGCATGTTGTTAGGCATAGGATGTTAGCTTGTTACTATTTCTCGCAAAATGTTAATCCCCAATTTCAAGAGTCTTATACTCTGACCTGATTTAATGATTAAGGAGACATGACTAAATATCGGTGTACATAAGGGACCTGTCCACTTTAGACATAATCCTCACATAAGAATGTCCACTTTAGACATAATTCTCACATTGTGGTTGTCGAAATTCGAACGTTAGTCTTCAAATACAACCTGATTCAATGGTTAAGCAGACATGACTAAATACAGGTGTACAAACAGAATTTACCCACTTTAGACATAATTCTTACATTGTGATTGTCAAAATTTGAACTTAAATCTCTTGTTTCAAATACTGCATACTGAACTATTGAGCTAAGTCCGTACAGACATATTAGCTTGTTAAAATGATATGGGATAGTAAAAATGAGAGTAACTAAGATGATGAAACAAATCAATAACTACATTACATTAGAGTAAGGCAAGGCAAGGAAGCAGTTTGAGTTGCAGAAACAAGAAGACACAACTACTACACAAGACTAAGACTAGCAAGGCATTCATGCCAATTGCCAATGAGACTCCTCACCAAATGGCAAATGCAAATAGACAATGGGCTTTACCAAAGCTCAGACCTCCATTTCACTCCTAATTAAATTAATAATTCCCACATACACATAGTAGTAGTATATTATACAATTGCACTTGTCATATGCTTTGGAAACAACTTCAAACAAACAGACAAAAACACATTCCTCACATAAGTTGATCAAAACACCAAGGAACTCAGCAAGTGCAGAGGAGGAGGTTAGACCAAAGAGGCTCAACCCTGCAAAAACGAAAGCAACAATGATGCTTCTTGCCCAGATTACCCCCGCCATGCGCCACTGCCTTTGCCTTCTCTCCAACTTCTTCCTCTTCTGTACTCGATCTCTGCATCAGAGCTAGACAAACCAAAGTGATGTTTCCTGCCATGTCTGGAATTTCCCATCTTAGAGAAAATATCTTCATCATCGCTCACACCAGGACTTGCTCCAAATGCATTTCCATGATTCTTCTTTGAACAATTATCTGTGGTGGATAAGGCAGAAAGAAATGCTAGCAGTCAGGTGTTACCACTTATTTAATCGCATACAAAAGCACCAAGAAATAGTTGTTTTGGATAGCAGTCCCAACCCAATGCAATATATCTAAACAGAAAATGGAAAATATAAAATAGTCTAATACTAGCAGTCTTACTTGAAATAAAAAAACACACTGAGTAATCACAGAGAAGCTGTAGATTAGATATGCATTTAATCTTATGACACACAATTCAAGCGTGTCAGTTTTAAGACTGAAAATTCTGTAAACAATGAGTCAGCAAATGCACCTGTCTTGTTGCTGTCTGGAACATCAGCAGCATGGTTTGAGCCTGATTTACAATATTGTGGACTCAACATGTTTTTGTTGGCTTTCTCTGCTTTTGTCCTTTTATCTGCTGACACAATCTGTATATTTTCCTGTTCTTGAGACTTATCAGAGGTAAAGGGTGTCATACTAAATGAGTCATCTAAGACATCAGTAATCTCCACATACTGAGCTGTACTAACAATTTCATCAGCACTAAACCCAAAAGATGCTCTGTAAGCTTCAATCTCCTCAGCATCTTGCTTACAATTTTTGTTCTGCCAGTTCTGATGCCCATTTCCAGCATTTGAATGTGCATCAGACTCCTTAGAGACACTCAACCTGCCTCCAGACAGAGGAAACGAGTGATCATAAAATTGGGCAAATGTAGCTGGGCAGAAGAAATTTGAATCCTTGGAGGTGCCAGCTCTTTCCAATCCATAGAGACCACCTGAATCAGACTCTGGAGTCTTGAGCTCTTGTGAAGCAACAGAAGGATCATACTCCCTTTCATTAAGAGGTGATGGCAAGCAACCAGTGGTCCTTGAAGAAGGTGATCTGAAATTACTAGCAGGGCTCTCTGGATATAAAGAGTAGGCTGAATGAAGATCACTAGCAACAACAAAGTTTGTCTTGTCAGTGCCTTTAATACCCACAGATGAAGAAAGGAACCGAGCGTAAGGCACATCCGGGGAAGAGGGTGTAGTCAAATGTGCTAATTCTGGTGGAGGTGTGAAGGGAGCAGTAGATGGCTCAGTTGTGAAGGTAGAGAACACAGGAGGAGATACTAGTTGTGTCTCATGGGCATATGGACCTGTAGCATACATATTTGATGACGGACCTCCCGGGGAGTTGGCAGACAAGAAACAGCTTGGTGACTGAGCTGTTGATGGGAGTGCTGAAGTAGAAAAGGATGCAGGAGAAGAAGGTGGAGCCAAAAGTGATGGTGGAATTCCTGTAGTCTGATTATTCACACCCCCCACTTGTGGTCCATTAGGCTGATTTGTCAATGAATTGGCCTCTGGCATACGTGAAGCAGGTACAATTCGTTTTCCGCCTTTTTGTCTGCCAAAACAAGACAATCCACCCCAACATCCAACCCATCTTTTATGCTGTCAAAACATTAGAGCCATTAGCTGTCTGTAGGCAACTAAAAGAAATGCAGTATAAAATGGCCAGGTAAACCAATCAAGACTTCAGGCCAAATTAGAAAACAATACAACAAACCAGTCACATACATGTCATACATCAGAGTAATAATAGCACATTATGTCAGGATGTGTGCATAGATAAATTCATATTCCCTCGTTATATTAACTTGCACTATCATGCTAAATGTAAATATGATTATCCAAAGCAATACAAAATCAATTGCTTATGTACCACATTGATGTTATTGGCTCTATTTTAAATACACAACATGACAACAATGTGTTACCTTGTCCAAACAAATAGAAACAGTTGCCATTAGTTAATAATAACTTAATATTAATATATTTTCTTGAAATATTGGTTCTCCTTCGTACTTCTATTTCATTCTTTAACATGAGCACGTAAGGCACCATTTACAGCATAATCTCAACTCTCAATGAAAGAAAGACACATAATGCTAGTTAGGATTCTTTCTCAACAAGTTATTGTTCCCTATTGTTATGTCTAAAAACCATACATAGCAAGATGGAGAAAGAAAATTTACAAATGTTTTATGTTGGGAATCTATAACTTGCCAGTTTCATAAATCATTATTCCGCCCCATAAATTGAAGCTCAAATGAATAACTAAATAGAATGAGCATATATATATATATATATATATATATATATATATATATATATATATATATATAGCTATTAGCAACAAAATCCTCCTCAATTTTGTCTCTATATGTTTCACATTATAATCTCCCAGTTCTTATTTGAATCCCTAGAACTCAACCAATTAGCATAATTGTTCGTGATAGACTGAAATTCCTCAAGCCAAAAGCACATTTATGCCCAATCAAATGCCAATGGAGGAAGGAGACATTTTCTCTATGGACTATGGAAAGCCAGAGCAATCCTCTTTAGTAAAGGTGGCAAAGGGAAAATAACTTCATTCGACCGTTAAAAGCTATATCTATGGCCGGAATAGCAGAGCAGAAGCGAATGGCCAGTTCACCAAGGTCAGATCTGCGCCATGATCAAGCAGGAATAGAAAGAGAGAGAAAATGAAGCACCCAACAAGGCAACAGAAGAGGAATGGATCCAACACATTTAACGAAAAATTAAAGCAAAGCGAGAGCAGCATAATGTAGATCTGGAAATGATAAATACCCCGGAGGTACGAGGCGGCGGCGGCGGCGGCGGCTGTAGCGGCTGCGGTTGCTGGGGAGGAGGAAATCTATGCTGCTCCGAACCCATTTTCTACATCTAAACTGGGCGCAACACTTCCATCCACTCACATAAACACAGCTTATATGCAACTTAGCTTAGCTCTCTGGCTGTTCTTGCCTTCCAGCACACACAAACACGCACTATACTGTGTTTACCAGATGTTGACACTCCATAGATTTGGTCACACTTGCACAGAATCAAACATGGAGCATAATTATTGGTTTGTTTATAATCATAGATATGAACGGCTCTTGTATTCTGCCAAAAAGAAAGAGAAAGAGTGGAGAAAAAGGGCTTTTATCGAAGACCATGAAAGACAAAAGCAAGATTAAAGGAGCAAAAAGAAAAAGAACCCAAATTTGTTGTGACTTATGAAATAATATTTTGCCCACAAAGTATAATTCATACTTTAGTGTGGGGCTGCGGCTAACATCTTAATCAATTTTTTTTTAATAAAAGAATAATAATCACAATCATAATAAAGCACACACGTAGATGTATTTTCTTTTCAAATACCTTATTTGGTAGTATTCTACAAATCAAATAGCAAAATCACGGGAGTAGCATGAATTCGCGTAAATAACCATCACGTCAACATGTTACCAGGTCAGCAGGTCATTTTAAGTTGAATTGCATTATTTTACATGAGATCTAATTATAGTTCTTTTAGTTTTATGGCTAAATTACAATTTACTATGTAGTTGGATGACTTATTTGACCCTTATTCCAAGTAAAAAATAGTACCACAGATAATGCAAATATAGGATAGACTATGCAAGGAGATAAGCAATTAAGGTTATTTATTAATTATATTTCAGTGTTAAGGTCGGAAAATGACTAATTTTAGGAGTACAAGGAGGTTCCCGATCGAATTTAAAGCCTTTTCTTTTCTCCTCTAAAAGTCCTTATCTCTTCATAAGTTAAGGTTTATATAGGGGTGTATCCGACACATGCTGGATATTCTTCTATGGCAATCATGTCTACGTAGCAGACATGCATAGGAACATCATGTTAGTCATGTCATTTGGATGTAACACTTTGCACAATATTATTCATGCTTTGTACTCTGCCAGGTGTAGGCTCTAAATTCCCCAACCCTAACCGAGGTCGGTAACAAAGTCTTTCTCTGCTACGGAACTCGATTAGGGTCAATCAACTATTTCTATGTGGTTGAATCGTAGTCGGTTAAGATCATGAAGTTTTCTTCATCATTAGCCCCATACTCCTTAAGGGTCACGATATTCAACTCGATGGAGTACAACGTAGTGATCTGACCTGACCCGAACCCGACTCAGACACGTCACCAAGGATACGTGTCCAATGTAGGCTCCATTTAAGGTTTCACTCCAAAACTTTTCAATTCCTGACTTTCTATTCTTCTATAAATAGTCGAAATCTTGTAGGTCTTAGTTATTCATTATCAATAGAAATTTCTAGAGATTCCTGCACAAAATCGAGCGCAGTTGATATTTGACCAGGTACCTTTCTGCTCTAGTTTATATATCTACTTGTACTATTACTTTATGAAAATCATTATTATCTCATAACCCTGAATGCGCTCCTCTCCTTCTTTTCAAATAAGGAGAACAATGTCAAGTCCAGATAGCCAAACTGCTTCTATTCACGACTGTGAATGCCTTGAAGTCGACATCAGATCTTTTACACTTTTTCTCCAGAGACCATGTCTCTTTCTACCTCATATGCTTACCCAATGCTCGAGCCAACCCTACCCCTTGGTCATAAGGTGGAATCGGGCCGCGGATCGGATAGGTCGATCGAAACCAACCAAAATGTGGTAGTCGATCCAATTACTTCCTCACATTTGCTTGACCGACCACCCTCAACGATCCCAATCGAGGCGATTCTTTTGTTCATCTAATAGAGACCTTAGCCCATTCTCGACCCTTAGTAATAGTGGCTCATCCCTCTCCTTCTCTCAGCCCCCCAACCTTAACTAGTAGGCACCATCAGTATCTTAGTACAAGTGCGGTAGAAGGTTATTCGCCTTTATTAACAATCACCAACCATGAAACTCTTTTTGACTTACTAGGTGGTCGAGTAGCCTATAATACTAGGAAGGGATTGGGTAACATCATTGATAGACACCATGGGTAATGGATCGGGTTACACGTTGATTCATTGATAACTCCCATTCAATTTCCTTTATCTCCCTTTTTACAAGCTTTCCTTCATTATTATGAGGTTTTACCCGATCAGTTGGATCCAAACACCCATCACATAATAGCTTGTTTTCCCCAAATTTGTGTCTGCCACCAAATCTCTTGCATATTGTAACTTTTACGCTTTCTATTCAATGTGCGCGAACTATCCCCTAAATTCGGTGGTGGGTTTCTAGTTGCGCATGCTAAAGGGTCTACTTGTAGTATCCTTAGCTTGCTCAAGAATAATAAAGGGTGTAAACCCCTATTCGTCTTCATCCAACCCAACAAGGTTGATCCCTCTATATAATGCTTTGGTTAAACAACTACAATTGTCTACTTACGCTTACTTTATTACAATTGTCCTAGAGGATGCATTTGATGTTCCCCATACTAGATCAAGTGGGTAAAGCTCCCAACCAAAGATTACACTCGGTGGGAAAAAGAAGATGGATGAGGGTATTCCTACACGAATCCTACTAGTGCCTATTCCTCCAACTAGTTTTGGCGTTACCTGACCTATCACTCGAGCAGGTAGCAATTGACTGAACTGTGACAGGATCATGCAATTCTCAAAATATGACATTTTTAAAAGTTGGACGAAATTATGAAAAGACATTTGGGAAATGCGTTTTACCACATTTTCGGTCAAACATAAAATGCAAGTGATACTTGCGTTTCTCGAGAATCGCAAATTTCACTTGCGTTTCTCGAGAAACGCATATTTAAAAAAAAAAAAAAAAAAAAAAAGGTTTCCGGTTGGTCGTCGGCTTCTCCGGCGAAGGAGAAGGCCACTGGTTGCCTTCTCCATCGCCGGAGAAGTCGGCGACCAACGGAGACCAAAATTAATAAAAAAAAATGTGTTTCTTGAGAAACGCAAGTGGGATTTGCGATTCTCGAGAAACGCAAGTCTCACTTACATTTTATGTTTGACCGCAAATGTGGTAAAACGCATTTCCCAAATGTCTTTTTCATAATTTCGTCAAACTTTTAAAAATGTCATATTTTGGGAATTGCATGATGCTAGTGTCACATTTCAGTCAATTTTCCGCAAACACTCCTCTAAGTCTCAAGGCAAGGAAAAAACTAGCAATGTTGAAGTGGAACCTTGACCCGAACATCCAAAATCCCCATCCAGCAGCATCCTCATTATTGATGTTATTCTATCCGAGATTACACAACCGGTCGCCATGCTCAAAAGGTTGAGTGGGATGCTCTCTACCCGTGGTGTGTCAGCCAAACAAGTTGGTAAAAGAGCTTGTCGCGAAGTGCTATAGGTATATTTGTTATTCCTTTCTTCGCCTTTTTTCCTTTATTTATACTTATCAGTTCATATTACTTTCTAACTTGTTAGCAACATGGCAAACCTCTTTTGCTGGACAAAATGGGCAGAATAAGCCATGAAAAAAGAAATCAATTTGCTAAAGAGGGACATTATCAAGCGGGACATAGAGATCAAAGAACTCAAAGATTGGGTAGACCTTTTGCTAAGCTTGAGTCAGTCAATGCATTTTTTCAAGCACTACTTTCCAACCAAGCCGGTCGTGACATGGTCCGCAAATAAGGGCGATGGGTCTTTTATCTTAAATAAATGCAAGATGCAAGCAAACAACTATGTTAACTTTCACAAGGTTCTAGTAAGGATTACGAAGCCTTACTACATGCCCTATCGGAGGAAGTTCTCGATTCTAGCTAAGCCCCTTTTATTGACGACGGCTCCTCAACCCCTAAAGTTAGGGCTTTAGGCATTGGTGGGGATTCTTGGATGTATATTTTCGAGAGGAGTGGCTCCATTGTGCTAACCACCTTATATATTTGTTTTAGAGAATGTCTATTTTGTGATTGTATTTTAAGCTTGTGAATAAAATTATGTACTATTGCTACCTTAATTTCATTCGGTTATATTTTCATGTTCATATTCTAAAGTGCCAGGGCAGACATGGGCTTACATAAAATAATCGGAAGGCGGGCTGCTGACCTCAATCGATTAAAATATGAAATTCTGAAGACTTTATATTTTCAAGGAAGTTTCCCGATTTAATTCGATCTTCCTGGGCTTATATGAAATCATCATGGTTGCCCTCCACTTCACCCTTCCCCACCCTCTAATATATATATATATATATATATATATATATATATATATATATATATACACTTTTAGGTGAAAGCTGCAAACATGTACATAAATGCACATAATCTTCTATATGATGCACACAATCTACCATGGACTAGTTTGCGTGCATCCATATAGTAAATTGTGTGCATTCATGTTGTTCTCACGTTATTACCAAAGGGTTAGTTCGCACGCACGCACGCGCGTACACATACACTCTCTCTTTATATTTTGATATTTTGTCATATACATTTTTGAAAGGGCTTTATTCTAACTTTTTTTTTTACCTATAATATATATATATATATATATATATATATATATATATATATATATATATATATATATATATATATATATTTGTGCTTTATATCACATTTTGATATTTTGTCATGTACATTTTTGAAGGACTTTATTCTAAATTTTTTTTTTACCCTTAATATATTTGCTTTGTATCAAATTTTGATATTTAGTCAGACATTTTTTAATTCATTTGAATTTCGTCTGCACTCATAAAAATTCCTAGATCCACCCTTGTAGAGCCTACAACCACTATTGTAAAAATCGCGTCTAGCCTTTGGTCGGCCATCTAGAATTTCACCGTAATCGGTGTTCTAGGCGGCCTAGGCCACGGTGGACTAGGCGGCCGATTATCTATATTTCTGCTTTTTTTTTTATGGGTTATTTTGTTCAAAATGACGTCATTTTGAGCGAAATAACCTTAAATCGTTCAAATCGGTTGCAAACTCAAAAAATGTAAATAAAAAAATGTTTAAAAAATTGAAATCAACTACTCTAATATTAATACTTTGTAAGTTGTGACTTTGTGGAATTGTGTTTTGATTCTTTAAATCTTTATACAATTTACAATTCTAGATGTAAGTTAATATTTAATATTTTATTTTAACTATTAAAGTATTAAATAATTTATAATTATTAAATATTAAAAATTAAAAAAAAAACATTAAAAATATAAATAAATAAAAAATCGGCATCTAGGCGTTAGGTGTCAGAAGAACGCCTAGCAATTTTTGCAACCGCAACACATGAAT